AAAAAAAAAAGAAAGAAAAGAAAAAGATCATTAAGAGTCACATTTACAGTGAATATTGACATTTTGGAGATCTCCAATTTCTTCTGCCTTCAATAACCCTCCCGCAAAGGTTACTGCATTGCTCATACCTGCATGCTGTTTATCTTGTTGTCATAGCCATGGTCTCCATGGAAGAAACATTTTCCTGTTGGTTTCTTGTAAACGTCCACAGCTTTCCTAAATTGAAGAAGTATTAGAAAATTTCCTGAAAGTTGTAGGTATGGTGGCTGACCTGATACTGTACTTTGAGGGTAGGAGGGATAAGGTTACAAGGCAGTGTATTGCTTATCTTGCTTTAATCGCAGCAGTGGGGACTGTAGGCTCATTCAAGAACCCCAAGTTTTCTCCCTCTGCTCCCACTACAGAGGGTGTAAACCTAAGACCCATCTCACTAATTGATAACAATCTTACCATCTACTTAGTTATTTTCTCAGACTTTCTCATATCGCATCATCTCCTACAGACTGGAAGTATTTTGGATGTACTATTCTGGTTCTCCAAAGGCCAACAGAGGCTTCTAAGAAACCACTTCTGTGATGTTAGAATGCTGCAAATGTCATTCAGTGCCGTAAAGCATTTTCACCTGTTTGCCTTCCACCCAATAAAGAAAACTGGGGAGCAGAAACAAAGCTGAAGGTAAGAGAAAGACCCTAATGGAGACAAATAGCTGAGAAATAAGTGCTGTGTCATAGAAACACTAATTGTCAGCTTGCTTCTTTACAGAGTATGTGGAGAAAGAAGTACTGTGTCATGGCACAATAATTAGCGGCTTGTTCCAGAGCAATTTTTTTTAGAGTTTTATGAGGGTTATGTGCAGACAATGCACACTGTGGACCAGATGATCCTACACATTAATTTCTTTACCTGCAATAAAATGATGCTCAGATAAAGTTAGATTTTGGCCTTGAAAATTACTAGAGCTATAGCAATCAGGTCTGCAACTGCTGTTTTCCTGGCTCTGGCTATACAATGAATTAGTTACACTACAAATGAATTTTTAGTTAATGAGATTTAAGAAAATCTAATTAATATATAAGCCAAAGAAAGTCTGATTTAATTAATAAAAATAAAAGACAAGAATTACTAAATGTAAATCAACTTGGGCCATCCCATTAGTTCCAGTAAAAACCTTAACACTAAAACTTTTGTAGGCCTAAACCTGAGATTGTGATACTTTGAAATGTACATGAACTCTAACCACAAAACTGCACAGGGCAGCTGGCCAGCCAGCTAGTGGAGTTATGCAAGAAAGCAAGTGGGGTTTCTCATTCACTGCTTCAGCAGAGGGATCCTTGCATAATTCATGGAAAGATAAGCACAGATGTCAAAAGGCACTGACAACACACTGTATGTTTGTCTGGCAGCTATACGGGTAAAAAAGCCCTACCATAATTTAAAGCTCATAACAGACTACCATGATTCAAAAGCTGTGTCATCTTCCAAGAACCACCGAGTCAGTTTTACGCATGAAGACCCAACCATTCTCATACTGTAGCACATAACATGTGGCAAAAGATAGAAGCAAGAAAAATATGTATCAAACCAGAAAAAGGTGTACAATTCATAAGCAAAGCTTACTCCTCTTATGTTCACTCTACACATAGATGTGCCAACTTGGTTGTCTTTGCTCAGTTTTCAGCTAACAAAGAACATTAAAAATTTCCTGTATTTTATGAATGAAAATTCAGAGGGACATGGGGCAGAACAGCCCTAAAAAGGCTTTTCTCCGAGCTAAAGCATCCTGGTTTTCTGTGCGTTTTTGTGTCTTGCAACACAATATGCTCCTAGCACTTTTATGGCCACACTGTCATACCCTTCCACATGTTCTCAGGCATTCACACGCTCTGCCATTATCTCCATTTCTTTCCATTCATTCATTGTATCCACTCAGCCTCTTCTTCCTTAACGTATTCCTGCTCACATATGGCTTTCCCTTCCTTCCATGGTCCACGCTTCCCTGTAAGCTTGCACCTCCTTAAAAAAGCTTTTTAGTTCCTATGTTTGAGCTACTCAGTTAGAAACCACACAGCAGCTTGAGGAAACCAGTTTGGAACTCTACCCTTTACCCAGCTACTGATTTTCCTGAACTTTAAAACAATCTTGTGTTCTGAGGGACATCCTCCTGGACCAAATGTGATTGGACCTCACCAGGGTTTCAAAACTCTTGCTCACGGGGTACAGGAGCAGGATGTTGACAGACAGAACAGTCCCAGGTGTCTCATTTCATCAGAAAAAAAAATAATAAAATAAAAATTCCTGAAAATCAGAGTGGAAGCAAAAGCAAGAGTTTACCTTGCCACATGCCACTTGCGATCCACCAGTAAGTGGACATCCTCAATTCTTCTGTTGTAAGCGTAGTGCAAGCGTTTAGGCAGGTGCTGCTTCAAGTAAGGCTTGAAATGCTGGTCTGGCTTTCTACACTGAAAAATAAATGGTTACACATGAGTGTTGTCAGTTTAGATACATATAAACCCTTGAACTACAGAAATCAAGTTGTTAAGGCCATTATTGATAATGTCTTGAAAACAAAGTTTACTTCTAGAGTGCGTAGTCTTTGCAGTATTTTCGTAAGGCCAGGGCCCAGGGAGTCACTCAAAGATGTATTTGGAAAGCTTCATACTCATGACAGTCTTTTTGAAAACATCAGGCAAAACACACGTAATTAGCTCACAGATGAAGAATTTTATTCTAACTGGACCAAAGCTTAAGTTTCAGAGAAAAGCTGAATGCTCAAAATACATCTCATCTGCAGATATATTTAAAGCCATCTGGTTACAAAATTATTTTTTTTTTAAATCAGCTTTTATTTTAAACACTTTTTTTTTCCTAATTAAAAAGAAGGTTATAGTTGAAGACTATCAAATGACCTTTTTCAGCATCTTCAAAGTGCTACTAAAATATTTACCCTAAAAGATTATTTTCCATTTCTGAAGGAATGAATAAATAGACTCAATTCAGCAAGACGGTCAGGGAGATTGTGGCTCTGCACTGCCCAAAAAGGTTATAAAAGCTACTACAGCAGCAAACGGTGGAATCTATGACAAACTTTAATCTGTACTCATAAAGGGCACCATTTAACATTCTTTATTCATGTTAATGGTTTGTTTTCCTATCTATCTAAAGAGAGGAGAGAATGTTGAATAATGCCCCAAATTAAGATGTGAAATGAGCAGTGCAGGATGCACAGAGATACCTCCCCACCCTAAATACTTACTGTAAGGTTGGCAACAATCACTTTAGGGTCATCTGTTAAGCAAATAAAAAAGAAGACAGAAATATAAAAGATGAACAACTTGCAGAAGAAAGCACCAGGTACTACTTTAGTTTTACAGAAGCGTTCTTCCTAAAAGTTGGCTGATCTCTACTACTAAAACTACAGTGTATGTATCAGATAAGATATCCTGAATATGAACTGAAGTTTAATTGTATACCCTTTACTCAGTGATACTCTAGTAGTTTAGGTAGTGTTGCTCACAATTTTGTGGTTTGGGCCTTAGCTTAATATTTATTTTATTTTCTGAAAACATACACTTTCAAGTCTTTTGACTACTTTCCTTTAAAATAGAATATCAACCCCAAATACAAAGACTTTCTTTGAAATTTTTTGAAAGCACATTTAAATGCAACAAAGTACTTCCTTAGAAGCAGTAATAGAAATATGAAGCAAATTTTGTCTCTTTTGACATTTCACATATTTCATAGGGTACTACAGAGTAAATGAAAAGCCACAGCAAAATATTCTGGATATGTCTTTGGACTATAAAGGGACATATGTTAGATGCAGAAAGCCCAAAAACAGTGACAGTCCACACTAACTCTGTTGTCTTCCAGAGTCGGGGGGGGGAAAGCACTTTTCAGTCCTGAGAGGAAAAAAACAGACTAAGCAAAAATATTAGGAAATGAAAATCTCTTGCTCAACTATTGTTTAAGGCACGATCTTGCCAAGCTTGAAATGAGCTCTGTTCAATCTTAAAATGCAGGCTACAGGCTTAGTCATTGCAAAGGTGTGTCTGCAGTAATGAGGCAGTATTTTGGAATATGAAAATGGAGAAGGAATAAAAAAGGTGACAATTTACCATTTAAGGGGGGAAAACCTAGTCCTAAACCTAAGGAATATGCTTCTTTTTCTCTTTCTTTTTTCTACGTTCAAACTGTGGATTTGTAAGCAATCGCAAATATTCAAACTAGTAAGCTCTGGGCAGAGGCCAAAAGAGGAAAATGGTATTGTGGGAAAACCAGTAGTATGACTCAGAGGTCAGTCAGACTAGCTGATCTTTTTGGAAGATATTGCCATTCATCCTCCAAAGAAAACTAATTTTTCTCAGCAATTTGGGAATTCAAAGGTTGAAAGACCTTTAAAAAAAAAAAACTTCTCAGAACTGGAAGTGTAGGAATTCAGTCTTTATGCTAGTCTCCTAAGTTTTATCAATGAACACGCTATTTTCAACAGGTCTTTACACACTCAGCCCATATTCCTAGAGTATAAATAGTTTATAGTAAAATAAATAGATACATAACTCAGTATCTAAGAAAGTTTTACTATATTCTTATGATTTGTGCTACTCTGAAAATAATTAATCTTCAAAGACTTTTTATTTTGTGAAATCTGTCCTCAATCAAAGTATGTTTGATGACTTTTGAAGAGTGAGTTGGCTGTCCAGATATTTGATCTTCACCTCTACCAAATACTGACAGCCTTGTAGCATATGTTGCAAAAAACTCAGGTACTTATTTTACCTTTTATTTCACCTTTTATTATTTACTTATTTTATTTAAGTATCAGGAACTTTGTTTATTAGTTTCACAGTTTGCATGGCAGCTTAAATTGTTGGTGAAGCCAGGTTTGTCTTAGTACATTGAACCAGAACAGCCACCATGCTGACACAAGCACTGTGCTGGTACAGCTGCCCTGGAGGTGGCTGTCCTCAGCAGAACAGCAGCAGGGCAGCTGGGTCTGTAACGCTTTAAATCACAGGGTTAGCTTCACCAGAAGATTCCTGCTTGAGCCCTGAGCACTCGCATCAAGAACAGCTAATCTCAAACACCAAGTCAGAGTGAATTTCTAACAGTATGGTACAAAAAAGCAGGAAGTTTTACAGTCAACTCTGGCCCTAAATGCATGTTCTAAATCTCCCTTATATCCTTCCAATTTCCCCAGCCTGTTGCTGTTTAGCAACCCACACTGCTTCTCATCTGGGCCAAAAGTATGAAGAAACTACTGAATTCAAAATGATCAATTCATTTTTTTCCCCATTAGCTCAGAAAATGTATCAGATGCGTTTTAAATACCCAACCCGTGCAGTGCTGAGATGCCGTAAGTCCTGTTTTTGTTGACAGAGGGTAGAAATGCATGAATAAACTCACAATGCCATGTATGCAGGTGTCTGAAACTGCCTTCAAGAGTTTCCACTTCTCCTTGCTATAAAAGGGTTGGTTTTAACCCAAAACATTTCAGCCATCCTCTTGACAGAGCTCTATCACTGTGGGGTCTGTGAAGTACAGACTGTGAAGGTAGCAAACAGGAGGTCTTCACTGTAATTCAGCTCTGAATGTTCCACTGACATACTGTGAATTCACACCCTTTGGACAACATCAGCCCAAAGCAGGGATAGAGGCCAGTTCTCAGGACACATGGGGTACAATTACACGAACTTACATTTTGGGTTATTACTAGACCTAGGGCGAATTCGCCCTAGAGATCCAGGCAGCAAAATTATGTCTTCCACATTAGTCAGATAGTTGCTTAAAAATTCAGTTCTTTCACAAGTAGTGTCTTCCATCCCTGCAGAAGGAAAATGTAAAATTAATCCAGCTTGAAAACATTTTCATTTTCAAAAAGCATGTTTTCCAAAATGGCACAGAAAGAGATCCCAACCAGCCTATTTATTCTTTTCTTTTGGATGACTAATCTCACTCTTCTTCTTTCCAGTCATCTAATTCCAATATCACACGCTGGTAGGAGATGAACCACGGGTGATTTTAGCACTTTCCTACACAAGAGAAATGCCAGTCTCAGCGTCATAGAAACAGTCACTACATATACCATGTGTGCACTGACACATCTCCAAACTAAGCTCATGGAAAAATCAAAGTCTGTTTCTAGTTTAACGCACTACTTTGGGATTACTTTTTTTTCAACGAAGGATTTTAAGAGACGTCGCCCACAAAAGGTATTGTCTGTTGGTGGTCTGTTCCAAGGCAGTCGCAGATAGACAATTCTCTCCTACAGCCATTTGTGGTGAGGAGGAATGTACTGCCAGTCACGGGCTGTTCTCAGCACCAAACGGCCTGCCCTGAATTCCTTAATGCCCCTGACCCTTCTCTCTCCACAGCCAGAAAGGAGGCATATGCCACTTTATTGCTAATGTAGCAGTCCTTGTGAGACTTTCATAAACAAAGTTCTAAACAGAACAGGACCCTTGGTAGCATCACAAAAAAGTTATGCAAAACCAGGTTTACCTCAAACATGGTCACAGTTTTAAGTTTTTTCTTTTTGTCTTTGCTAGTATTTACTACTCTTCCTATTGTAAAGTTTTTTCTGACATCTGAAACAGTGAGACCTATCAAATAGTATCTCTGCTTTTAGGTTACTCTCCAGCTGACTCTGAAATATCTTTTTACAGTTTTACTCCTTCCTCCATTAATTTCTGACATTTTCCATCCATGCTGGACTCAAACCCTTATAGATATTCCAGTCTCTCTCCGAGTAGGATAGCTTTGCCCACTAACAGACATGGAAATATGTTGCTCTAAAGCCTACTCCACTCCCCATGAAAAGGAAAACAGTGCTACTAGATTGTTTCCTTCCATAAAAATTGCCAAAAAAGATTACTCCAGGCATACAGCCACCCAATGCATGCAAGGGAGCTCCATTTGGATGTGATGTCAAAATGCCAAGCTTTGGAAAGTGGAGATGTAAATACTCAGACCACTGTTAAGAAAGAGAAGTGTCCTCCAATGACAATTAATAGGTGAGCTGAGTGGCCAGTCTACACCGACTGGCTGCTTTGGGGGATTTAAACTACCAGAAAAAATCAGCACAAAAATATCTTGAATGAACTCTCATTTAAGCCACCTATTATTTGTACAGCTACGTTGCTCAACCATTAATATACTGTTAAAGAATATGGTTTATTTTACCATGATCACCAACAAAGATGACGTTGACACATCGATGTAGTTTCAACTGTTTCAGACCGTCCATTAGTTGTCCTACTGTCTTGTCAATCTCCCTCAGGGGATTCACCATCATCTGTATAAATATGCAGAAAGGGAAAAAGTTCCTTCTGTCATTGCAATGTTCTTTGTTGTTTTACAAATGGAGATCCTTTGGCAAAACTCTGATAGGATAACCATCCAGGTCAAGAGGCAAAGCCTTGGCTGAGCTGTTACATCTACAATTATCATATCATTTTCTTTCCTACAGCCACACAGTAATTTCATAAGAAAGCCCTGCTGAGATGTTGACATAAGACAGCAGAAGATCTTTATGGCTGATCCTCAGCCTCTGACAAACAGATACACATTTCGTAAAACATACTATAGGTATTAGAAAAACACATACAACTTTGGGGTTCTGTTTGTTTCTTATAAATAAATAGCAGTGCTTTAAAAAGGCTATTTTATATGAACAGTTTAGTGAAAACATGAACATGAACATGAAGCTGTGCACTTGGGGTTCATATGCCAAGGCACTTAATGAAATTCACTTCAAAGGACATCTGATACTAGGTTGACAATAAGCAAGTCACTTGAGTAGCACATGGAGCTGAGAGGAAGCATTCTTCAGCTTCAAAGCCAAGAGTTTTCAACATCTCAAATGACAGTTTTGGCAAAATTGCCAGCAGGCCGCAGAAGAGACGGATACAGTGCTGGGGTTTCTTCATTTAAGTTTCCTACTCATTAAGAAACACAACAGAAAACAGCAAGACATGTTCACTGGATTATGTTTTCAGCTATAAGAAAATGGCAACATTTTTTACCAGATGGCACAGAGAATGGAAACTTTTTAAGGTAAGATTTTAGGCAGAGGACTCAGATTTTGTTTTGGTTTTGAGAATAAAACATTGTTTGTCACTATATGTCAACTTTCTCCTCACTCCTTTGTTTGATTTGGCTGGTCCAAATATCTGCAGCAAAACATCCTCCTAGTGATAAACAGAATGCTAACAAATTCTGGATGACAAAAAAAATACATTTTGGCAGAATTTTCTGAGATAGAAAAATAAACACCACTTTAACGTGACCCAGAAAGAAATGGTTCAGAAATTCTCCCTTTGCCCGAGTCACTGAGGGATGGAAGTTAGATAAGTGTAGTAGGTTATCAGATGACATAGGAAATGTTATCTACTATGTGGCACTGTAGATACACAGAAAAGTGGCTCATGAGAGATTAAACCACAGTGGGGAACAAGGAGAATAGTTTCTGAAACATATAGAAGTGGTTTAGGCAAAGGCTGAAATTTGGAAAAATTTTAATTCAGGAAAGTGTAAGTAGTCAGTTAACACTCTGAAACATTTTGAATTTAGAAAAGAAGAAAATTGTCTGTTTCAGCATTATTCCACTCTCAGACACAAAGAATTTCTTCAATGAATAATAATTCAATTTTTGTGAAACTCTATTTGCATAACATTAAGGAAATGCAGCTTCTACACAGAATCCAAAGCTTATTCAAGTAAGCTGGAAATCTGGATGGATTTCCCATTGATGTTTACTTTTGTCAGCAGGCTTAAGGCTTCATTTAAAAAAAAAAAGCAACAATACTTCTAGAGATTTCAAGGATTCATATCAGTAAAATTGATTAGCTACCTTCTTCACCAGTTTAATCTGTAAACCTGCAAAGATTTCTGAAACTGTAAGGAAGCCAATTCAAACAAAAAATCCTGGTTTTAAAAGAAATAGAACACTCAAAACAGGTGAAAAAAAAAATAAACAAAAAACCACACACACAAAAAAACCCACAACCACTTTGCAGTTTTCGCTGTTTGACTGTGTTCAAATCAGTTCTTAGAAAAGCCTTCGCCAGTATTTCTTCATCTTCTTACATTCTGTCTCTCTTCAGTTTTAAATTCAGATGTCTTTTATTTTTCTATGCATCAGTTAAGATTTTCCCCAAATTGCCTTTTCAGTTTAGATCTGGCTGTAGGCGGCATATTCAGGGAAGGATTTTTTGTGTGGGCATGCTGCTCTTACAACTCGTGTTCTTCCCGAGATGCAACTTCCAAAGAGTTATTGGTAAATATATAAAACTCTTGCATATACCTTTCTTCACCTAATATGTTGATATCAAGACTTTGGAAAGCTGTACAGGAATATTTTGTTTCAAGTTATACAGATCTCTAAGATGGTGTTATAATATAGAGCTGGTACTACTGTGAAAGCATTGGGTATGGGATCTGAGATATACAGACCACAGATGCGAATCCCTCTTCCCTTTTCCCATAGAATAAGCTTGATTAGAAGGAAGAAAGAATTTAACTTTATCATTTGTCTTTTCTTAAATTGGTAGGGTCCAGCCTGTACTATATTCTATTGCTCTCAAACAGCACCAAAAGATTAACTTGCAGATATGATGGGAACTACCGTGTAGCATTAGGATGTTTTTTTTCTGAAATAATAGTAATAAATTTTCACAGCTGACTTATCAGGAAGAGTAAGGTAAGTTTGGACGGTGCTTTCATCAAAGGAATTAAAGAAAGAAAGGGCGGTGGGATAAGGGCGAAGTCAGATCTGCTTCCACCAGTAAGAAAGTGATAAGCTGTCTACTATTCTTCATGCTAGACAGGTATAAGTTGGAATGACTAATAAGTAATAACAATATCCACAGCAGTTATCAGTTTTCCTCTGAGGTAAATCCATGTTAAAAGTTCTCTGGAAAATTTCTGGTTTCTTATGCCTGATAAATTTTTTCATGACCCTATCTTTACACTTAAAGAATCAGTCTCAAAATAACTGTTTTAAGTTGACCCATGCAACAAGTCAAAAAAACAACCCCACAGAAAAGCTACTGAGAAAAGGGTTTATAACCTCTTATAGGATATAATGGAGTGTCAAGGCTTTTGTTTAAAGCCTGAAGGAGAAACATATAGGCTGTTTATTTGAAGAGTTTGTTAATTATTTAGTTAAATTTCTGAGATGAAAATAATCCTGAAGTGGTCTATAGCACACACAAGTGAGTGTATGTTTGTGCCAGGTGAAGCAAGACAGCATGTCAAGGAATACCCTTTTCTTCCACTTGCACTTTCTTCTCATAAAGCAATTTCTATTTGACCTTTTCCTTGTGAAAAGTTATGCACCACTCCTATTGCAAATACAGCATTCAGAAATCAGGCAGTCAAGAATCTCCTACTCCCCAGTGCCAGCAAATACCTTTAAAATATATTTTTTAAAACAACTTTTTAAAGTTCTTCTCCTTTCAGATGTTATGAGTCACATTTTCAGGACTTTTCCATAACTACAATGACTAGACACAGAATCTGAAATAATCACCAGACTCCCATGAGCTGGGCAGTTAAGGAGGCTACAACATATTGCAGAATTTGTAATAGCCCAGAAGAGTTAGCAACACTGGTGGTGTCTTCCCAGGGATTTAGCTGGTATTGCCTCCAGCTGATGGCTGGATTTAAAAATATGAAGAGATTATAAAGACAACTTTCCCTAAAGCAAACAGAATCTGAAACAAGAAAAACATAGCTCCCAGAAGACTTGGTCTGGTTTGGCTGCTTTCCTTTGGGTCCTCCAGTATGTTTATAGAAGTTTTGTCTGCAAAATCCCAACCTGAAGCATGGAGTGAACTCCCAAGTTGAAAAAAAACCAAAGCTAGAGTAGTGCCTAAAAAGTGGCACTTCCATCATAAAATTTTGGAACATATGTAAACTTACTTTCTTCCGACGAGCTTCCGGAGTATATTGATCCACTCTATGTACTTTTCTTCTTTCCTTTGGAGCTGCAACTGGTCTGTCCTGTCTCCTCTTAGGAGGAAGCTTTCTCTTAGGTCTCTTAGGCGGAGTAAGAGGGGAGCCATAACTACTCTCCTGTACTGGCGGGGAGAGATGTCTGGACTCAGAAAAAAAGCCTGTCTCAACTCACATCAGATAGTAAAGCTACTTCTGAAGCATAAATGTTGTGGCCTTTTCAAAAATTTAAGCTTTTGGACAATTTAGGATCTGTTTCTTCTTAAAGAGGAATATACCAAATTGTACTGAAAGCAGAACAGCAGTTATGAGAGCGGCCAGCATAAAAGCAAATGCAATTGGTGTTTCAGAAGTTAGGTGGGGCTTCTGGTTTTGAAAATATATCGTTAAGAAGGGGTATTGATCAAATATTAACCCATTAATATTATCAAAATCTAAGTAAACTTAATTTTAATTAAAGTAAAATTCATTGCATACAATTTAATGAGCATCTGGGATAGAGTGGTGATGGAACCACAATTTTTCACTTGGATGATGGCTCTCGTATGAGTACTGGGGCCTGTCCAGTCCAAATGGCTTTCTGCAAGATTTCCCACACCCACTGTTTGGTAGCATCGGTGACACCAGGTACCCTCAGCAGTATCATTAGCAAGTGCCACCATTGTGTGCCAGGCCATGCACCCCACTGAAATCACCAGAACTCCACTAGCCACTATTTGAGGACTGCAGGTCTGCAGGACAAAGCTATGAAGGTGAGACTCAGTTAGCATGGAGCTTGTAGTCTGAAGATCAGCTAGGCAGGGCTGCACTGCTACTTTATTACCTGCCTTATTACCACCCTTATCAGCAATTTAGGAATGTAATTTTCTAGTACTTTCAGTGTGACATCCTACTAGGTAATGTTACTGCTCATACATGCACAAATACCTGAGACAGACATATAGTAGGGGAAAAAAATTTAAGACATAACTGAAAAAAAGCTACTATCCCATTAATCAGCTTGTTCATAATTTTAAACTGTACCACTCTCACTGACTTAAACACAAGTCACAGGCTCTTGGCACTGCTTGGGACTGCGTGTGAACTGCTGATGGATGATGCCTACCAGGAGACAGTGACTATGCTATGCTGTGTGTAACGGAGCACGCTGAGTGGGCTCGAGAAGAGTCAGAGATTTATGATGGTATTTAACTTCTGTGTACTCAGGCAGCTTCTCACAGTTGTTCAGTTACGGAGCTATGTAAACAGGGAAGGGAAGGAAGGGAATGTTACCATCTGCCATGCTGTTTCATTGCTTCCAAGGCAAGCAGCTGGAAAGGAGATTCTAGTCCAGTCTCATTCGTCTCTCTCCAGAAAGGCATTTTAATAAAGCAGCACCAGAGTTTTCTGTTTTTAAAATGCTTCAAGCTTTGTGCAGTCCTGATGAGAGGAGCAGCAGGGAAAGGAAGGATTCTCATTTTATTGTCTCTCAATCAGCTCAGACAGAGCTCCACAACACCAGAAACACGTGAGTGCATGAGACCCAGGTCTGAGTACTGAAAATGGCTGTCTCAAGACAGCTTGTTAGAGGAGCAGCAGGAACGGCTTAGCAGTGCCAGATTTCGATGTGTTTTAGAGCTCTTATGGTAGTATATTTCCAGGATATTTTATTTTTAAAAAAAAAAAAAGTTAGCTAGAAGAAAAAAAAAAAAAAGCCAAGTTCTTATTAACCAGCCAAATCTTAGTCTTGAGAAGAGTCAGAACAGAGTTATGGAGGAGGGAAACAAATCCCTCCCCGCTTACAGAAGGGAACTGTAACATCACAAGGGTAACTAGCCAGCCAAAGCTCTGCTTCTTGACCCGGATGGACCAACCTACCAGAGTTCAACTGCAAAAGCACAGAAGGAAAGAAAAAAAAAAATGCAGAGGTAAATCAAGAGCAAGCACATATTTGATAACTCCCGTAAGTACTCCTGGAAACCTAATGGAACTCACTGAAACACTTCCTAAGAAGTTCATTTTTTTTTTTTTTTTTTTTGTGGGACAAGAAAAAAACCACACAAATAAACACCCCCCAAAAAAACACCAAAACACAGATAACTGACTCCTTCACACTGCAATTCATTATGTTAGAGGACCTGCAAAGTTACTTTAGTGGACAGTGGCCATAATCTGTATTCCAGTTATATCAACAACACTGGCAATTCACCAATGAAGTCTGGACAATTTAAGTTTTAAATTGGGCATCTAAACTCCGTTGTTTGCAGCTTTCAAGACATTCTGAACATGGGCCATTTAGCATGTCTTGTGAAGCTCTAGGTGCCATCTGCTGAAGCATGGAAGCTGAAAATTATTAGTAATGGATGACATTAAACTTATAAGATTAAACATTTAAAATACATTTAGAACACTGTTTGGTATAACAAGCTCTAGTAAACATTCATTTTATTTTAATGGACATTTTTAAGATTTGGAGGTTTTCAAGGTATAAAACTATTCCTCTAACTGCTAAATGCAGCAAGAAAACTCAGCATAAAATCTTCCACTCTTCAAAAGAAGAAATAAGAAGCTCATCTTATATATAACACGGAATTGTTAAGAGCGGGTTTTCAAACATTATTGTTTGGCTCATCTGCCTTTGTATAAGGAAAAGTGGTTTGGTCAGTACTACAAGAAAAGAAAGATTTCCTGGGGAGGCCAGGCTCTTTGTATCAGGGAAGCAGCTGAAAGGGAACCCGTTGAGGGCTTTTTTTTTCTGGCTCATTTGTGGAAATTTCATAGCTCCTAAAAATTATACTAAAAACATTGTCAAGAGAAACATTACTAAATTCTTCCTGGCTTTTCTATCCTGAAACCAGGCCTGTAGCAAATCTCATTATCAGTACACCTACACAACTATATTCATTTATTTAAATTTACATAACACAATGTTATGTCCACTGTTTGAACTGCAAGCCCATACGTGATCATCTGTTAACCTGTCTGTTCTCAATGTGCTAAAAATCAATTTCGTGCTCTTCTTGTGTTCAACACCGATGGCATAAATCAGTTTATTTGTAAAACCTTCATATCCTATTAATTCACACTTACTAAGAACCTAAGCTTTGCCTTCCAATTAGAGGTCAATTGTCAGATAACTATCCTGAAGAACCCCCAAACAATAAGAGCTTTTGGGGCCTTTTTTTTTTTTTATAATTGCTTTTCCTATGATGATACAATTATACTTCATATTTTAGATTCTCAAAATTAACCTGAAACTGTATTACCACATTGAATGCTAAACTGGTTTGTTAAAGACTACAATTTAAGGAACAAATTCTATGTCATCGTATTCACATTCTCCTTTAAGTCCATGGAAAGAGCCCCACAAGTCTGTTCAGAAGGAAGTGGTTATCTACAGATAAATAAAATTAAAATTGTCAGTCAAAAGCTATACATAATACTAAGTAACAGCTCAAGAGGAACTGTAAAGCATCATTGAGTAATATATCCTTGAATCAGAGAGCTCTCATTGCTGATATGTTGCTTGAGAGATGTCTGACATCTCTCCTGTTCTGACCCAAATGACAGTATGGAGCTATATCAACACCTGTCAATTTAGCAAGAGTGTTGGCAGATTTTAACCGCAGCTTATCCAGAAAAAGGACTACTTCTTCCTATCTAAATGGTATTTCAGTGGTGGTTTGGAATAATTCCTAGTGTCTGCTGCTCTGGGACCACGGCTCAAACCACTCCAGCCATGATGCTACCCACAGAAAGTTCATAACTGCCGCAAACTTATTTAAACAGCCCAAATAACTCAAGCATGTTAAAAAAAGAGATTAATGGTGCTTCTCTCTGCTCTCTTCTCCAGTAGGGAATGGCTATCAGTTGTATACTAACCAAGTAAGAAACTACCGCTGGGTACCTGGTTGTTTGGGGAGATTTGTATTACCTTCCCAAGGGGCAGGTAGGTATCTGATACACTCCTCTGTTTTCAAAGATTTGCAAACATATGTTTACCTTTTAAAATGCATGTAGAAAAACTCCTAAAGTCTTGTGATGGAGATCTGCAGGCATATATTTGCAAAGAAACTAGGGGACTTTTTTGCCAGATGTCATTGGAGACACTAGCCCCCAGCCTCCTAAAGTAGTAGGATATTCATGTGTAGAATCTACTTTACCTCCCCACAATTCCCAGACAAGTGCTTAGTCTTTAAGTTCTTGTCACCTAAAGAGTGCTGGCAGGGAAACAGTATTCATCAGTCCCAGCCAGCAACCCAAAGCCCAAACAAGGGGTTAAACTACAGGAGTGTTTTACTCATAATTTTTCATTTAAATACCTCATGGTGCTTCAAAATTTTTTCCACACTCAACAGGCTGGTCCTGAGGGAACAGTACTGGAAAGCTTTCTCAAACCCTGTAGGGCCTATACAGAACTGGAAATAGCAGCTTCTCAGAGTTCACGACAGACCAGAATTATTACTTTGGCTACTGCAGGCTGTCAGCTTTGAAGAAAGTTTTTCATCTCTCCATTTTTCCTCAGCATTTTCTGCATTATATTTTTATTACTTTTAGAAGGATAAATTGATAGAGGAAAGTTAAATTATGCTATTTCACTCAAATATACTCCTTTCCTTGCCAAATAAATGTTTCCATTTGCATTATCATATCACAGAGAGAAATAACCTCCTGAAAGGTACAGGCAGTTCCTTCTCTCAGAATTCAATCTCACATGACAAATCCTTTAGACAATAACTGCTTTCTCTGGCAGAGGGGAAGCATACTGCAGAAGTGGGTCAAAAAAGTTTCTAAAAATGTTACTCCTGAACAGTGGCAATTATTCAAAAAAATATTCGAGACACGTGTTTTTTTCTGCAGAAGAAACTCTGTACTAACCTCTGAGTTGAAAGGACCATATCTGTGGCCAGCAGCATCTGGTTGCTCAGAGTAGAAAGCATAAACATAAGGCCTGAAAGAAAGAAAGGTCTTGTTCAGGATAGATTTCCTGAAACAACAACAACAAAAAAACCCAGACCTGTTAGGTCAAGTCAAATCAAGTCAACCTTCCAATGAGAGTTAGCTTTATGGAATAAGAACTGCTTCTCAGTCATAGGTTTCCAACGTATGATTAAGCAATTAGCTGTTCTACAGCATTATTGAATCCAGGAACTCATGCAGGGAGGCACATGCGTACCATCTGAGGACACATGCTCTAAGTCTTCTAGGAAAGATCACAACAGCAGCTCGCCCAGGCTTTGCAGCCAGCAGCATGTGGGAACTTACGTACTGAAAAATACTCAAAATTATAAAAATAACATTTTCCCAGTCCCCATGGTCCAGTTCTGCAACTGCCACTATCTGTACGGTGTTAAGCCACATTAGACTCAGTAGGATAAGAACAATCCGAGTTAATCCATGTAACTAAATGCTTCTGGATAAGAAGGGAACTCGTACCATACATTCATTGAGAAGAATCAAAATGCTGATGGCTAAAAGCTGAGATAAAAAAAGCAAACTAAACACAAACCCCAAACAAATCCTTTAATCCGTGATAGCATGGAGCAGACTAAAAATTTTTTTAGAAGTAAATTTCCCCTTGTTCTTCCAGCTGCATTTAAGAAAACTACCTAGCCGTTACCCAACAGCAGATAAGAACAAGTGAATTACCTTTCATTGTCTGGAAGGGTTAGCCACTGCAGTATTGTCAATATTCTGCGCTCATGGGGGATGACACTGGACCACAAAATACAAAAATATACCTTGTTATAATAGAATACAAAAAGCATCAACAAGGCCTTGCTGTGAATTGATTCTAACACAATTAAAATAAATCATAAGGACATAATTTGCTTTTAGGATTCTGTATCTTCTTCCTTGCTTGATATTAATACTTATTTTGCAAACAGAATTATTTCAGACCTCATGGTAGTCCACATAGTCCAAAAGAAACATGATGAAAAGTTTGTAAATGGAGCTAGAACTCAAGGCAGTAAATCTAACTATTCTAAGTAGAAGTGAATGAAGATCCATTCTGGTAGCTTTAATCCAGATGAACTTTTCTTATGCACAGTGGTGCTGCCATTGGATAGCTGACATGAGTAAAAACCATTAAATTGTTCACATTTAAAACAATTGTTCACAAGTTTAAAAAACCATCCTGTTCTGATAGTCTTGAAGACACTGGAAAAGTTCTCACCAACTTAATTGTAACCAAACTGAAGGCTGGGCTAGTGTAAATCAGAACAGAGCCACCTGAAACACCAGGCCATCAGCACAGTAGCTTGCACAACTTTGACAGCTTCTCACTCTGCAGAACAGACTCATCCTATTCCACTGTTCATGTCCTGAGATTTCTCACTTGGCTGCTGAGGCTAAGTTCATGCTATGAGAATGACTAACCTTATGAACAGCTGTTAACATTCCAAACATCTCATCCTAGGAAAGCTCTGCAGGTCGGTGACCATACAGCTATTTTAATAAATAGAGTCAGTCCAGATCCCATTAGATCAACAGCAGAATCCCAAGGCAGACATCAAATACAACCATATTGTTGTTAAGCATATTGCATGCAACATGCTGAACTGAATTCAGCACTCTTTGGAAATGTGTGACAGAGAAAGAGAGATGCCAATAGCCATTTTGAAATAAGTTCATTTTTAATGCCCACAGTGGTCTTCGGTCTCCAGCTACAAACAGAACTCCTGGTAACAAAACGACTAAAAAAAATGAGAATTAAAGCTAAAATGCACAAACAAGGCAATACCATAAAGCAAAATAATCTCTGATATTACCCAGTTTTGAGAATTTTACTAATAGTAAATATGAGAAAAATCCATTCTTTCAGTTAAGTAACTTGTGACTAAGATGTTTGTAACACTTGTATTTTCCTGAAATAGTTTTGCTGAAAATTCTCCCAAAAAACACTCTGCGTCCCAAATTAAACCACACAGTTTTAAGGCATACATATTTGATTCATACATAAAGGGGCTGTCTCACACCCTTACTATTGCCATTTATCTGACATATTCTTGGTCACGTTCCAAAACATTTTATATCCCCAGGCACGCATTGGCCAGGGTGTTTATGGTGACTGTGTAGTTGTAACACCTAGGAATGACATTAATTTCTTTGGCTTTAGACAAAAAAACCAAAACAAAACAAACCAACAAAAACAAACAACTAAACAATCAAACAAAAACACACCACACAAAAGAGCACCAGACTGGAGCTCTGTCAGATAACGGTCTTACAATCCTAAATTTATCATCAGTTTTGTACGTGGAACATTTTATTATTCCTTCCATATGCGGTAGGATACATAGAGTAGCTAAGTTCATTATTATTAATGGAATCACAAAAAAAAAAAAAAAAAAAGGCAACCCCCCCTTAGTACTACAGTCTTGACAGTTTGCCCAGTTTGTTTGCTCCTGTAATCCTGCCACTCAAATGAAATAGAGAGATTTACACACACGAATTCCTGCAACCTCAGAAATTATCAAAATTCATTCCTTTGCAGTTAGGAAGATACATCTTAGTTGGGGCAAGGGAAAATAATTTGGAACCCTTAAACAAAAGAATAAACAGCAAAGATCCTCAAGGCTGCCTTGTAGGAAAGGGAAATGGGATATCTTACTCAAAGGTCAGACTGGATTGTAAAATGAATGAGTCAGTCAGGCTTTTGAGTCAGTCAGGCTGCTGATGTCAGATGGCATAAGAAGACAATAAGAGTCTTCCACAAATGCTCAGAGGACTGGGAAACATTGGTAGCAATACTAAGGAGGCAAAACAACACACCATGAAAAGAAAGTAATTTTTTACACAGTCACACATCTTTTCTTCAAACATCTCCTAAAAATTGGTATATGAACTTAAAGCAGCAAACTATAGTATTGGCTAAGTTATCAGAAACATTGCACAAATGAAACAAAGGAAGGTGACAGCTATGGTCTCCAAGCCACCAAATGCTTAGAGTAAGGAAAAACTTTCATCAAATTAATTCTGTATTATTAGTTGCAAATCTCAGAAAACAAGAGAGAACTTACACAGACCAGAAGAATGTGCCAGCTTTCACCCCTTGCTTGGCTGCAGTAATCCAAATCTAATGAGGAAAATATAAGAGGATTAGAATGTTTTCAGATCTTTAATGACTCTCTAAGTCAAAAGAAAATGTTTTCAAGACACATTCTTCTACTCTGAGCCTAGAAGTGAAAACTGCAGTTTTCAGCCTGCATTCCTAATTCAAATACGCAGAGTGACACACCTATGCCAATTCTGTAGCAGTGGATCAGCTGCTGTGCTGTAGACTTTCACCCCTAAATCTCTGTGGTGCTTTTAATGCAAACCACTAAGATTCACCTCCAGGAATTTCTCCAGTAGTCTATTTAATTTTCAAAAAACAACCATTACTCACCTCTGCCTTTTAGTGTTCAAGTTTTGGAGGATACTCAGTTAGGAAGGAACATAAATGGTCCCTCTTCCCCCATATCCTACCATCAGTAGCCATCAACAGAAAGTATGTTAGAAAAGAGTACACGTGAACGGGCACAGATTAGTTGGCAGGGCTATAGAGAAAGCAGGAAGTGACATCTTCCTCCATATATTTTTAAGAACTTTTTCAGCTCACCCAACGTGATTGATGGAAATGGTAGAAACAACCTCCATGAATTTTTCAAATCCTTTTCTCAATCCTTCAAATCCAATATACTTTTCTGGCTATAAATCAGTTTGTAGGAGAAAGGTCCACATTGTAGCCACACACTGGATGAGTGTATTTTTATATTTGTTTGGTTTAAACCTGACAGTTTCACTGGGTTTTGGGTACTGTTCTCATAATTTGAAAACATGTTAGTAGCCCCTTCTCTTCCCACTTCTGCATGACATTCATGATATTCCCCTCTATTTATTCCCTTTTGAGCAAGAGTGGCCTTGGTTGGTTTGGTCTTTCTGTAATGAAAGCTATGCCATACCATACCCAGTGGTAAACTTTATCACCCTTCTCTCTCTCGCTCTGCCTCCACCCTCTTTCTCTCTTCTGTTCTCTATAGAGGAATAAGACAGAGGAATAAGAATGACCAAACATCAGAAAGGTCCACAACCAAGGAAAACAAACAATATTGCAAGGAACAATATAATGCAAGGAACTACCCAATTTGTCTCAAAACTCATTTCAAAAGTGGTAGTGGCTTAAAGGCCAGCATTATGTATACAACTTTATTATTTATTTCTATTATTTACACATACTTCAATTATCCATTTCACGAGCAGTTAAGGCAAAACATAGTTCCCGTACTTAAAAACTGCAAAATCTTGAGTTTACTTTGAATCAATTTTTTGAAAATACATTCAAGGCCACTCTAACTTGCTCGAATAGGCACTTATAAACTATCATCTGGCCGTGCATTACCCAAATGCCATGCCTGAATTACTCATGTGGTGGAGTTAATTATAACAAATTTGGCACAGCCTGATGAAAGATCATTTGCACACTGAGGCTACAGATAACAACATTCAAATTTGGATATTGTTATGTAATTTCTGTGAAAATTGGTCATTTTGCCTTTCCAATGCCTTGGACACATCCCTTAACTTATCTCACGTGATCAACTTATGCCAATCATCTCAATAAGATGATAGAGTTCGTCTTACTGAACTCAACCAAGTTATAGAAAAATCATGGTTATCAAAGGTCATTTGTTTTCACTGTACTCTAACTCTCTGGTTAATGTATCTGCTTTTCCAGGGAAGAATACAGCCATGGTAATTTTATAGAAATGTTGGTTTATTAAATAAATGCAGCAAGAACAGGAGCAGAATGGCCACACATTTGCAGCCCGCCCTTCTCTGTTTTCCGGTGCTTCTCCTCAAGAGTCTTATTTCAGGGTTGGTTTGTGTTAATCTATGCTCAAGCTGCCAACATACAGGGAGTCCACCAAGCACCTCCCCCACCCTCTGTAGCACCAGCATTCCACCAGTAGTGGGGTTTGCATGGTGACAATGACCACAAGATGCTGTAGATGTGAAGTATCTCCCCCAAAACGGAAAAAAAAATGGCTTTGAACTTATATTGGAATTTGGTTTTGAATCAGTTGAATAACAGGGATATTGTTGTTAAATGATGACAGACTAATAGCCCTGCCAGGATGGAACAGAAGGATGCAGGTGAACTGGAGAGATGAGGAAATGTGCCTACAGTCCACTGATCATGTCACTGAGCCCATACACTGCAGTCAGAGGTGTGACTGCAATGTAAGCTTCTTTGTATCATATAAATCACAACAGGGTATAAAACTTCACCCTGGACCCTGTGTCAAACTAAGGCAGGGGCTACTCCATATTCATTAGTGGTTCATGGGCTTCCCATGTGAAAAAGGGGGCACACCTAAAGCCATTAGATTCTTCTTTGCATTGCAGATTCCCTCCTAGAGTAGAACCCTGTCATGGTAGAGAAAAGAGGTCAAATACAAATTCAGCATGAGGAGTGTCAGCTCCACTCCTCTTATGCTCTTTTGTCTTGCTGTACTTGGAAAACCATGGTCCCTACAGAGCTGCAGCAGACTTATTTTTCTTTGAAAGTGTTTGTGTTCTTGCAAAGTTTAAATAATTTTGCAGATATCTTTAGGAAGGCACCAACAAACTAAGTCCAGGGAATTCAGCATTTGGATTTTACCATCTGTGAGCTCTAGTTTGACTTTCTAGTGCTTTGGCCTGCAGATGTCCAAGCAGTCCAGCCTGCTCGGTAGGCCAAATCAGACCAGCCAATTTCCACCCTCAGCAGCTGAACCTGTCCTTTGCTGCTCCTGACTTAACACTGCTGAAATCACCCATGACCCTCTCTATTTTAGGCAACAGTTTTAAACACGTGCCAAAAGACACCCTCCCTCTGGCCAGGCAAGTAAAGCAGCAGTCATCTTGACAGTTGAATAATTTGGCCCTATGTACTTGCCAAGGTACTCAGCATGCCTTCAAGAAGCTGGTAGCTATTTTTTTTTATTCCTGTTGGCCATAGAGTTTGTTTCACGAGTGCCACGTGAAAACAGCATGAACACCTTTCTGAACCAGGAGTAATGCAAGCCAGTGGAGAACACTCCCAGCTGCACACTACTGAGCGAGCAGGGAGGGCAGTTCAAAGTCACCCAGACTGGCTTCAGACAAGGAAAAACTGCACTCACCCTTCTCCGAAATATTTCACCGAGGGAGTGCAGCCATTTACATTAGTATTAATTGCTTGGATGAGGATATGGGTCTGCAGCACTCGAAATAGTCTGTTGATCTGATCACAACATCTAAAAAGTGAATCTCTATTAGCAGAGCCTGATTCAAATCCAAGTTACAACAAAATAGTACTGGGCCTCCCCACTCCTTTTTCTTAAGGAAAAACAAAATGCCCCTGCCCAAAAAAAAAAAAAAAACAAAAAACCCAACCACCAAACAACAAAACAAACCAAACGAAACCAAAAAACAAATCAACAGACAACAACAACAAAAACAACACACCAAACCTTTGGTATTTAAAAGTAAAATAAGTAAATTCAACACTATTCAACATAATACCTAAAGCTGCTACTCTTTGAACAAGACTTCTTTAAGCATGCAGAGAAGCAGCAGTTACCTACTGGAAGAATTTCTACCTGCACTGAAAAAAAGCTTTAAATCAAATTTCCAGTGTACTTTAGGGTTCTGGCAGTTGTTGCTGACGAATGTAATGGTAGCAGTCTCTGCCAGAAATACCCTGGGTTAGCCAGACCCTTTACTGGCTAGCTAAAATTAGACAACAGAATGGAGCAGCTGGTTGGAGCACCAAAGTTTCCTTACTACCCAGCAGAACGCCCTGGGAAACATACTGCAGCCTGATCACCAGTGAACGCCTCTCACTGCACTGAAATTAAACTGTCTCTCAAGGCAGACTACCAGTCGTGCCTCTCACGGGCTGAGTATGCTGTCAGCCAATGTAGGATAGAAAAAAAAGTTAGCTGATAACCCTTACAACCTTGTCTATCCAAAACAACTGATGTTAAGGAGGGAATAAGGGTTATTGTTCCATTTCCTCTCTGTTGGTTAGAGTCTCAGCTTAAAGTTAATTAATCCTAGATGTTCCAGTACTCAGCATGTAAATGCAATGTGTTATATACACTCCATGGCTGATCACATCTGTTCAGGTCACTTTTCATAAAGTTTGCTGTGTTAGGCGTTGCAAGGTCAGTACCATTTGTGAGCTTATGTAATTTATTTGTCATATGTAAATACATTGGCTTTAACTGTTCATATGTTAGAGTTGTATAGTCAGTGGTTTAACTATGTCAGATGTACACCCCATGTCTGTAAACGGGACCAGCCACATTGTATTGCAAGCTATATAAAAGCCATTTTTGTGAATTAATTTGCTTAAGGAGAGAGGAGGAGAATAAATACTAAAAAAAAAAAAGACCGAGAGAGTCAAAGTATCCTTTCTAGGTACCTCCCTACTTCTAATCTTCCATTAGCAAATCAGAACCCCAACCCTGTGAGGTTCTTGTTGCACTGTGAAAGGGCTGGCAGCAGCACATCTCAGGTCAGGGTCGATGGGAGGGACGACTCTGAAGTCTGACCTTGGGGTCAAGTTGTGCAAACATGCTCTCGCTCACCGGGCAGGGAAGAAGATTCATGTCAGGGCAAAGGAAGCACATAAACCTACTGCAGTGGAGAGTTGATAATGCATGCATGGGAAATCCCTTCCACACCCAGGCAAAGGTGGGAAAGGGGAAATCACAGCCTTTCCCAGGTAGAGAAGGAAGTGCAAGACTCAGTGCAGGAGTGAAACACTGGACACCACGCTGGTATTAATTCTGCATCATTTGCAATTTGTCCTGTCAACAAGGTAAACCATGGAGAAAACCCTCCCACACTCCCCAGTCTTTAACAGGACAAAAATGATCTCACAGCCTTGACAACTAAGTGTTGCCTTCTTGCCCAGACAGAAGATTTTGGTACAAGAAGTCTATTAAATAATTAGACAGCCTCAGAGAGCCCTGTTGATTTTTCATGGGTCAAGTTAGACAAAAAGAAATACTTATAAAAAGGCAATTAGAGACATGCCTCCTTCTGCTTCCCCCATCAATCAACAAAGTGATTGCAAAATGTGTTCAGGACAAAAAGTAGATGACAGCTTTCTGTGGAGCCTGGGCTTCGCAGGTGGAACTATCCTAGCAGTGCTCAGGCTGACTAAGCAAAATAAACCCCTAAGTTCTTTCTGTAGTAATTAGCTAGTCAAAATCAACAAAATGCCAATAAATAGCAAATCAAAATGGTTTTATCCCAAACACTGATATAGAATATAAAATTTAGATAAAGTCAGGAATATCCAGTTAAGACGTGGAGCAATAATGCCTAGTGTCTACAGGCATACCTTGCAGGCTGTAAATCCAGCTTCACAACATGCTGTCACCTACCTGGGAACCCCATGGACCTTTTTAAAGATTACCTCAGTATCTCACACTGGGCCCTTTTGAAGTCTGTATGCTCTTTAAATTCATACAAAGTGCCCTATGCAACTTTCAATACTTATGATTAAGGTATTTCTGAAGAGAAAGGTATCTTTGGCATCAAACTCAGGTCCAAGCTGGGTTACCTTCTGAAGAAGCCTCTCTGTCCCTATCAACCACAGAGTGGCAGTTTTATAACTGTCATCTTCTGACCATGGGGAGATTACTGGATTGTTTGTAAGGATCACTCAAAAAAAAAAAAAAAAAAAAAAAAAAAAGGCAATGTATTGTCTGTAGTGTAAATCTTAAGCTCACTAAGACAAATTAACATGTGGAAAATTACTGCTTCAAAGGAGCCAAAGGCAGCTGGGGCTTAATTTAGTGCTTAAAGTTACTTGGGGTGAAAGCAAAGTCTCAGTGTCATGAAAAAATGAGCAATGAACTTATTTTCTCCCCTTGGGAGCTTAGGCTCTGTTCTTCACCATTTCTGTGAGATGGTGTGGCAATACAAGGAATGGTTTTGTGGCTGTTTCCTGTCAAATACTTTTGTTTTGAAAAAAAGGTAGTTTGAAGTTTATATAATTAATCAGGGCTGTATACTAAGTCAGAAAACTGGATGTCAGAATGTCCCATAATCAGCTACAGCACCTCAAAACACTTCCAAACTATGTTCTCCCCCCTTCTCTTTTTCCTAATGCTCTTAAAATTAATTTCTCATAATTCCTGGCGTAGAAACATTTAGCTACTCATCTGCCAAATCCCACTGATGTCCATGGTAATCTGGCTTTTTCCCAGCAAGATACTGAGTATTAGAACAAATAATTAAAAGAAAAAAAATCCCCCCCACCCCCCCCATTTTAACAAAACCATATACAACAAGCCAGTTTCCAGAAGCAAGAAAGTATTTCAGAAATTAACATTAAATCCCATTCTCTTCTAGGCAGTTTCAGCCATTAAACAAGGCTGAGGGGCTCAAACACTATTCCTGCCTTCTTGGGTGTAAAAATAATAATTCTCAATTTTGTGCAAACCAAGTACCACTCTGCAGTTGTCTGAGTACTTCAGCTGGAGGCCTAAGACCTAAAAAAAAACCAGATGAATATGTGATACGACAGACTAGATTTCTGTGATATGCAGACCTGATTTCACTTCTTACCTCCTTAACTTTACTATCTTGTCTTTCAATACTCTGACATTTTTGGAAGCCTATATCCATGTCATATTTAGGGAAAATGCTAAAAAGTAGTTAGAAATGTACCGTATCTAATCCATACATAGATGGAGATTTTTTTTCCTCTTATACAAATCTGCAGTTCTCTTATCAAATGTACAATTCTTCCATGTGCAGAAAGTATCATTTATATTGTATTTCTGCAAGAGATTACCACCTCCCTACCCAGCCACCGTGGGCACTCTCTCAGGTTTGCCAAATTTACAGGTTTCCCTCATATTAAGTGTGTGGGGATTGAATTATAGCCCTTCCTCTATGCATTTGTTTCTAATTTTCCAAAGACATTTCCAGCTTATTACATTATTTGCATGTTTTTCTTTTTTAACACTTCTTCAGATCAGCTGGTTTATTTTATCATCTTTGTGTAAGCAACACTCCCCTCCATCCTCTGAGGATTTCATCCAGAGTATGGTCATCCAGTGTTGTGTAACTTCCTTGAACACCCCTCAGCTGACATTGTTCATGACCCTTGCTTACAATCCAGAAAACCTTTTATTCTCTGCAGCAGCACAGGCGTTTCTAATGGATGGGTGTGGCAATTACTAATGCTCCCCACTCAACACAGCAGGTGGTGAAGTATTTATAGTCTTATATTGTACTTCTAAAATATCTTACTTTAAAAATAGAGACAGTTGTACAATCACCAAGAGTTTCCCCACTAAGTCCTACCTAATTGTGATTAAGGTAAGATGCACAATTAAATTTGCAATGCATAATTGAATTACAGTTGCTTAACAAGTAATCACACGACAGCTGAGCCACAATATTGTCTACGAGCTCTATTCCCAGCCATAGCAGGTATGGCTTGTTAGCTGTGTGGCTCTGGCTGCAGCTGAGATGGAGGAAGAGGTTACCCACTGCTACCTTTTCACTGCTTCTAGTTTTGATCCTGCTTATTTGCTCACATCCAGGAAGGTAATAGACATGATCCTCATTCTCACTTCTCCACACGACCCATGCCAAAAGCTAACCCGGGTCATAGCTGGGCAAGGGAGTGACTACACTCACTTTTATGCTGACAAATATTACATGAGCACAAATACCTCATTCTGCCTTAGCTACAGCCAGACACATCTGCCTGCAGCTCTAAACTGTCTTGCCTCGTATTTGTTGCAGACTAAAACCACATGCAGACAAGTAACACACACACTTGTTAAACCTAAAATCATCTGAGTATCTTCCTTCAGTCTCTTAGGTTATTTGTGATCCCTTTATCAAATGGCAATGACAGGTTATGGTGCTCCCAAGCCCATTCCAGCCCCCTCATCTCTATCGCCTCACCCTTTTGTGGGGTTAACTGGTCATGGAGCTTTTAAACTATAGTTCCCTGAGCAATCAGTGCAATGAAATGTGCAGGCACTGTGGCTGCTTGTACCTAAACTTCTTATTTTAATTCAAACACACTGTTGTTGGCAAAGCAAGCCACCACAGCATGCAGTAACAAGGGAAAGTGCAGCACAAGCAAGAGGCTCTTCTTAGCTGTAGTAGTGCAGAATACTTTGAAGGAGGCCATTTTATTGCCCAGAATAAGGATTCAAAGTTAGAGAAACCACGAAGTCCAACGCTAACCTAAGAGAGAGGACCTACTTCAGCCACTGCTGCTGTACTCAAGGCAGAAATTGATTCACGAAATTCTACAGCCTCTGCAGCAAACCAAGTAACAGTGATCGCTTGTGGACTTAACAAATAATAATTATGAAGTTGTGCCATGCTATGCTGACAGAACATTAATACTAAAAATGCCACAAGAACATTACTAGGATGAAAACCTGAGAAACTCATAATGAAAAGGAAACATTATGCCACGGTGACAAAAATATAGTGTTAAATTGCTGTCTAAAGTGAGGTGTTTTTTTTTTTTCCTAGCCACATCTAATTTATACTTATCAACGCGAGCACCTTACCATAATCAATGGCTTTATTATTCTGAAAAGCAAAAGCCAGCTCAAAATGTTACATGAAATTGATAGACACAGGGCCAGCCCAGGGGGTGCAGGTGGGGAGATTAGGTACAAATTGTTCACAGATGTATTTTTTAATTATTATTATTGGCTATGTTCCACAGCACAGGGGGAGGGGAGAAGAGGGAGGAGGGAAGGAGGAGAAGGGAATCTGAAACTTACTGGTTGACCTCCCCACCATCTGTGATTGAATTTCTCTCGCCCTCGAAGACTGAAGCTGGCATCAAACACTGGGTCATACATTGAATTGCCAACGATTCCATGTGATTCAGGATAAAGTCCCTTTGTGCAGAAGTAGATTAATTAGTAAAACCCTAATGCACACAAGTCCAGTTCTTCATAGCTATCTGCAATTACCACAAAATTATTTTAAAATAGGTAACTTTGTAACAGCACACCAAAAAAGTTTAACTTTAAGATAAGCACATTTCAAACTGGCTGTTGTAATGAAAGCAGTAGGAGACAACTGAAGTGTTCTAAAAAGCACAAAACCCTCTTGCTAATTGACAATTTGAAGTATTTTCACACTGGTTAAAAGATAGTTTGAGACCATCTAAAGTCGGCAAAAAATAATGAAAAGAAGATTGAACTTTCAGTTCCTCTTCATGAATTCTCTTTCGGGAAACAGTAATTCATTCTCTGGTTTCAAAAGTAACACTTAATTTCCACTTTATGATGTTTTATCTTCATCAGAGTCTCTGTGAGATCTGTTATTTCCAAGAAAACAAACAAACAACTAGGCAAGTCACCCAAAGCCATGCCTTTATATCACAATTTGTCCAGCCAGCAACCAACAATGGTGAGATACACTTTATCTCAGAACCTCAGAATACTAAAAAATCTTGCTTCCCAAACACACATTTCTACTGCAGTGTTGCATTTTATCATCAAAAAATCCTTCTCAGGAACTTACAGTAGCAAGTGTGTACAAGTTGGGGAAAGTTTTTGTTGGGTAGACAGGTCTCATGTAAGGAGAATGTGTTCCACAAGATCCTGAAAAATCAATAGTGAATGCAAACATCAGGAAGTGAAATTCTCAGACAGGGAAAACAAAAACAGAGGAAGTCGTTTGCTATGCCACAAAATGCTGCAGAAACTGGTTGAATTTTAACTAATTTAAATGAACATTCTTCTGCTTAACATTGGCAGGTCTTCCCACAGGACAGTAGTAAATCCACTCATGCACTCTTTGTACTTTGTACAAAGAACTGAAATAATGCAGCCAGACAACTACAGAACCAGCTTCACCTCCACATGCTCGTTCCTTTCTGACCGAGCCTCCTTCCAGAGTCCCAGAGTCATTAGAGGCATCTTGCTAAGTAAAACGAGGTGAGAAAACACAGGCTCATTTTGTGACAAATGTATCAAGATGCAGTTTCACAATGGGCTTTGGCCACAGCCCCTTTCATTACAGAATCGTTTAAGCTGGCCCTTTAAGACCATTGGGTCCAACCATAGGTGGTGACAGGAGGGCCAGCACACACACCGGGAAAGAAAACCAAGCCAACACCTTTAAAGGGTACAGGCACACAGGCAAACTGACACACTGTACTGAGAAGCTCAAATATGCCTTGCATCCAGTACTCCACAAACCCAGGTGGATGCTCACTACCCAGGAGGTGAGTGCAGGTCTGCCCATCACTGGGGCACATCCCCAGCAGGTATCACACATTCACTGCAGCTCCTGCACCCAACAAGCCTTCAACAGTTCTGAATCAAATGGAAAATTTTATGGGCACCTCCCAACTAACCTATGAGTGCATGACACATATCAAGTACTGGAGATGCATTTCTTGCTTGACAAAACTGTACAAAGGTCACTGGTTCTGACAGTGTTCCCCAAAGCACCAGGCCTCCTCCCACTCTGATAGCTGTGTGCTTCTCTAAGCCAGGGTGCTTTCAAGACACCAGTTAATACCATCTAAACCAAAGGGGACTTGTGCCATTTCACCTTGATGGAAAAAAAGACTTAATCTTAGTTGGACCTTTCAGTCAGAGGAGGCCTGTTTAGCCCAGCCCTTCTACCCACTAGCTCCACACTGACTTCTGTTGCTTAATGAACAATAAAAACAACTGGGCTGCAAGAAATTGTCTTTTCTTTTTGGACTGTAAGAAAGCAGATGTACTCACTCAGTTTTTCAATATTGGGCATGACCTTGTTCCCTTTCTTCATATATGATGCACGGAAACCATCAACAGAGAAGATGATCAAAGGAGGGCGAACAAAGCTAAAAGCAAAAGCAGCAGGAGCATAAGGCAGCATTTAAAAATGATTTTTTTTTTTTTTTTTTTTTTAATTTCCACTTCCTCACTGAGACTCCAAAGAATTTAAAGTACAATTACTGCATATGCTATATGCCTAAAATGTTTTTGCTTACATAACAGATAGGAACAAACTAATAGTCTTCTACACTTAGTAATATCCAGTGCTCACTTGTAGTGAACGGGCTGAGCTCCAACACAAGAGGCATCTTCCCTAAGAGCATACAGGCCAAAAAGGCATGTGCTTATGGAAAGATATGAAGAAGGAATAAAAAATAGTATGTACCCACCCTAGCACACAATCTGTAATTAAAAGCCACATCTCACAACAGCTGTTCTTTCTTCACAAACAAAGGTCCATGTGGCATTCTGAGAGAGCTCTGTGAGGCAGGGCATATTCTCACATACTAAAGATGACAGCAGTTCATGTTATTTTATTACATTTTTATTTACTGCCGCTACTGGGATTTGACCCTAAGAAGGCAGAGATGTGTCCTGGATGGACCTGGCCTTTTCAGGTTAGTTGCCTGCTGTGTGGGTAAGCAGCCAGCAGGAGCTCCCATCTCCTCCAAACCATCCTTCTAGTAGCACAGACCCAGCTGCAACCAAACGCAGCACCTGAAGAGACACTTACCTTTAAGGATAAAAGTGAGCCAACTGATTTCAAAACTGCTTGCTTTCTCAGTGTTATTCATGTGCTTCAATACCTCAGTAAGCCAAGCCTGTCTCCCATTGCAATTTAGAAATCCTTTCATTTAGAAACATAACACTAAAAGTACAAAATTAAATTTTAAAAAACATTGCCTGAACTGTGTTGACATGTGGCTTCACCTGAATTTTATTGAAATCAGAAGAACTTAAGCCTTGCCACTGACTTCAAGGGAGTTTGGTTACCTTCCCTATTTGTGTAACAAGCCCATCTTTGATCAGGTGATCAAAGATCAAGAGTTCAAGCTCGCATATCATACACCACTACTCATCCAGCAGCTCAACAACAAATACATTACAATATTATCAGTCTAATTGTGCAAATGTAAAGGAAAGCACCCAACCCACAGCCATTCAGCCTGAATTGTCGACAGGGCCAATGCAGAAATGTGATGTTGGGAGGTCAACGCAGAGCCGGGTACCATTGGCTTTGCTGCATTTGGCTTTGCTGCATTTGGCTTTGCAGTTGCATGCAAAACACTTACCCTGCTGGACATTCAGGAGCCTTTATCTCTTCACAGTCATCATCTACCCAGTGGGTTTCTCCTACCAGAGAAGACGCGTTGGAGTTTTAAAAAAAAAAACACAACCCACACCAAACCAACAATCTGTGGACACAGGTACAGGTTTCACAGAAAATGTCAAAAAAATGAAGTCTAGCTCCAGCTAATGGACTGTGTTGCCATGCTTCCTGTGAATAATGAGCAGGCCTTTTCACAAAACTGAACAAATGATCTGGTATATTCTATTCAACAAGAATAGCCAAACTAGCACTCCTAGGAGTAGCTCTTAAAACTGGAATTAAAAGTGTTCTTTTGACCACAGGAGACAGAGGTAATGTTTTAGGCAGAGTGGTCATCTATTTTACTTTTTTTATTATTTTCAATCTGTCAAAACCATGTAGGCTGCTTCTGGCTGTGAATTCCCATCCTCCTCCCCACCAGCTCTGATGACCCCATGAGGTGATTCAGCTGGCTACACATACAAAACAAAATACCATTTTGTGATTCTGTGATTCTAGGGAAGAAAAACAGCTCTAAATAGTTTCCAGCTGGCTTAGAGAGCTGATCATCTCATGGATCAGGTGAGATTCAGACAGCCAAAAAAAAAAAAAAAACCACTAATAGTCTTTCAGAGATAGATGAGTTAAAATTACTTTATGTAAGCAACTATTTTCTTAGGATTTTCACTGCTGAATGTTGACTATAGACTGGCTTATGACTTGCACTTTCACAGGTCAGTTGAAAAACAGATTATAAACTAATCAGGCTCTCTTCCTGAGCCTGGCACTATTAAAGGAACTGTAGTTCAATTAGAAGTACAAAACAAAAAGCACCACAGAAAAGATCTACAGGAAATGTGTTCTGCTGCAATTCCAACTGACCATGTGAGGAGGTGGAGGGACAATTTTTAAGGAAATTAAAAAAAAAAAAAAAAAAAAAAACACCACAACAACAAACACAAAACCAGCACACTATCATTGGATAGGCAAAGGCAGGAGTGAAGAGGAAACAGTGTTCTCGTATAAGGCTTACTCCTGTCAAAGTGCCAGGGTCATTGAGATATGTTATGAGCCAATTAAACAAAGATTATGTACATCGAAGCTGGAGACATGTAAATTCCTCTGTCCTGATCCCTATACGAGTGACCTACAAAAAAAGGCAGGAACTGAAAAACTATACCAGCATTTAAGTGGTCTCAGTCTTGTCTTTCTTTGGAAAGGGGAAGAATGTAATCTATGGGGAACTGCCAGAAGATAGGTAGTTCATTTAGCTTCCCAACAGCAAAACTCAGGTAAAGAAGAAAAGTCCATTTTCAGCATATGACTATTATCATTTTCTGAAAATATGCAGTTGGCTAAAGTTGTGTGGAAGAAAAAAAATAGTAACTCTTCCACCAGTTAATGAATGAAAAACCTAAAAACTAGCCGCGATACAAAAGCAAGAACCTGTGGAGCTCACTACCAAGGGTCAGAAGACCTGCTCCAAATGGGAGACATCACATAGGCCAGGACAAGCTCCAGAAGACTGGGGCAGAGAGTGAAAATTGAGCTTTCACACTCTATCCACCCACTAACCAGCACTGGGTGTATGCAGCCATGGTGTGTCCAGAAGGTGGTGGCATCAGGTCATATGAAGCACATAGCACCTGTCTGTGAGTTACAGCCCTTGCATTCTCACAGCTCTCCCACAAAAGACAAAGACTATAGGTGTTAGGCCAAGCAGTTTGAGCAGGAGCTTTTGTGGAGGGGGTAGGGAGAGGCAGGGATGTATCTTTGAGACAGAGATAACATAGCTATGAATGCTCCATTCCTTCTGAGACCATCAGATATCTCTGCTTTCCCTGTGATGCAGACAAATGCATCTGAACACTTCTGTGTTTTGCTTTAAACTCTACTACATCTACCTACCCCTTCTCTCTATCAGTATCTCTGCAGGCAAAGACATTGTCCTTCCAGCATCAACAAATTCAAAGGATTCACCGCTGCTAATGCCCAAAAAATTACAAATACAATTCCCCCTTCTTCTCCCCTCCTCTGAAACATCCGAACAAGGAGAGTTCCTGCTTTAGAAGAAAACTCTTTACCCACAGGGCTGCCTTGTATCAGGTTTGGAAAGATAAGAGGCAGAAAAGACCAAAGACGTACCTTTGCAAACGACTTGGTAATTAGTACAGCAATCTCCTCTACTTAAGCAGTCTTCAGAGCAGTGACAAGCATTGTCATCATTCCTAGTCTCTCCACAGCGATCTTTGGTACATTCCCAGCCCCGAGCTAAAATATTCACAGGGCAAGCAAGAATGAGATTATAATCAAAGCAAAAAGTCCTTACTCAAGCCATAACGACAACGCTCCAGTCGTTAAAGTTGGATGTAAAGTTTATGGCCCCATTTCAGTGATTTCAAGACTTCTGAAGTAGGCATGTCAACCAGAAACAAAAAAAACCCTTGTGTCCTGCAAGTGCAGGAGGGCTCCTCCACTCCACACACAAGTGCTTCTGCTACCCTCAGGTGTTCTTCTCCACGCTTTGTAGAAACTGAATGCCAGAAAAATTTGGAGAGGAGAAGACAAGAAAGGATCTTGACAGGTAAATGGTAGGGCCTGAAGCATAAGCTAAGAATTCGGGTAATCCATTCTTTTCACAACAACAGTCCTCAGTTCAATCCATCAGAAATAAGAGAAAGTTGAAAAGAGACTATGTGGATACAAAATGATACTTTATTCTCATCAGTTCCTCAAGGGCAGGGCGAGATTCCACACCAAATGCAAAGAAGGAAAAGCATGGCACAGCTGCTGTAAAACACTCCAGCTCTTCTCATCTTGCAAATGGAGCTAGGATCTAGGGGCCTGTCTGAATTAGGGTGCTCTCTCAAGGGCAGTACATACCTGCACTTTGTAATATGGCCTAGGGACTTAAGCAAATGGCTTTCCATGTCCTGGCCCAACCAACAAGAAACTTTAAAATCACTTCAGACAACATGCACCCAGTAGAAAACACTCCACATCAGAGCAATGTCTTTTACTACCTTTTCTCTTACATTTGGGGCTTTTATTCTATAAATATGGAACATTTGCAGATTGCACATGTTATGGCTGTCTTAATAAATGCCTACAGGAGTACATGACAATTCATACAACAGTCCCAAGGGCTATGCAGGTACCCACACACATATGTGGACATGGTGCACTGTGGACAGAAGGCTTAGGAACTGAAAATCTGCCCTTTGGTAGCAAACATCTGGTATTGTGCTGGAAGTTTTCAAAAAGAGCCTCTCACTCTACAGTCATTTACACCAGGGGCAAATCATTGTCGGACTAAAATTCAAGTTTTTGCCCTGGCACCAAAGTAGCTTTTCATGCTGTATTAGCTCACCATTTTTTGGTACCAAGCTATTATAACGATATCATTACAAACAGGACTGAGGCAGTCAGGACTTTCAAGCATGGGACATCCACGGGTAATATTTAAATCATTAGACTTCTGGCTGCTTTGTAAGTGTAATTCTTTGATAAAGGAAGAAAACATTTAATGGCAAAAGTAGAAGGCACCTGTATCAACTCGGACCACCGTGCAAACACTCAGGGAGATGAGTGCAACAAATAATTTAAGCGCACTACACTAAGAAGTAAAATATAACTCATGGCCTTCTGTGAAGTTTTCCTTGCCTATGACTCATGAAGAAAGCAAAAAGTAAATTAACCCGGCCTTCTATTTCCATCCCCTGGGTCCAATGAATGTCAGATGTTTCCACCACTGTGCTACATGCATCCTGACATCTGGAAGTTGGAGTCTAAGGCAAGGGTAACAAGCCCAGCCTGTCACCTGCAGCTCTCACTAAGAGGACTCCCACTGCTTCAGTGCTTCCAGCTCCAGAGGCACCTTTACAGTTAATCACAATGCACAGCCCACAAGCAAGCATGAGTTGCTCCAATACAAAGTTATCACTTGGGAGAAAAAAGGATGTCTGACATAGAATGACCAACCTCCAGCCTTTACCATAGTTCTTTGCATTGTAACCTGAAGATCAAACATGCCTGAACACTGATTATTCTTTTTAATTGAGTATGTGAAGATCTAGTTTTTATGTAGTATGAATAGTACTCTGCTTTTTCTGCCCTGGAAACCATGGCTGAAGCCCAGCAGTGAGCAGCAGTAGGCAAGGTGTACCTACTGCTCCTTGCAAGGACACACAGGCTGCATTCTGGGCTGAGCTGAGCCCGCCCAGCAAGACAAGACAAGGTGAGGCGGAGATGCAGGCTATGGCAGGGAGCACTGCTCGATCAGGCATGTCCGAGTCACTGGCAGAAGCCAGGTACCAGCAGCGCCTGGCAGTGCTGGACAGGAGTCCCATCGTACCTGTCTTTAAGCACAGCTCATCAAAGTCGAAGCAGCAGCTGTTGTAGCTCTTGCACAGGTTGTCACAGCGGCAGCCAGGAGGCTCTGCCTCTTGAAGTTCAAAGCATCTGTTTTTGCAGGAGCCAGAGGTACTGATCCAGGGGGAATCTGACAGGACTGTGTGGAACAAGAAACAGGGCAACATCTGTCAGGCCAGCAGCGTGGGTGGCTCAGCCCCGAGCCACTTGGATGAGCAGAACCTTGGCTACCTGCTATGAGGAATGGAGCAGGGAGAGGACAAGGTTGCTTGAAGAAACAAAGCAAAACCAAACCAACCAACCAACCAACAGAGCAAATTCAAAAATGGTTGTTCTTTTTGGAAAGGGAAAAAAAAAAAAAAATGGGAAAAGATGCAGCAGCATGCTGTAATAATGTCCTGCAAAGAAACAGCCCTGGCTTTACTTCTGTAACAATCAAGAGATCATTAGCAGAAATGTATTGAAGTCTCCAAGGCCTCATTCCAGGAGCTGCAGCTATTCCTCAGAAGCAGGCCTTTGTTTTCAGAAACCGAGTGACATTTTCATGGTTGGCTGGGCAGCTTGCATAGGAAAGGACTGCAATTCATCTACGTAGTCATCAGGACTTGGCTTGCTATACTGGAAGGTGCCAAATTAATGTCAAGTGAGAGAGAAAACTGTAAGTTGCTCTATAAATTAATGGAGAAATAAAGCAAGGCTTTTTGGTGGGCTTCTGCAGATCATTAAGTTACAAAAACGTAACAAAGTATGGAAGTATGAAAGAAATCTAAATATTTGATGTGTATAATTAAATGGATTAATCCCAGTCTGAAAACCATGAAGAATGTATTAGACTTCAATAATCTATGTATCAGTAAACAATTACTGTCAAAGCTGATAGGTACTTCTCTGCTCTTTTCTCAAAGCTTAGTATGTTATACATTTTATACATTTTTTCCTGTAAGAGAATCCTACATAGCAGCTCATATGAAGTGAGAAAATTGTGCTAGTCACTAGGGTTAATTGTATTTTAGGAAATAAAATAGTGACTCTACGTTATGCTTTAAAAAGAAGTGTTCCAAGGAAAATTTCACAATGCCTTTTGTTCCTTGAGAGACCTATTAAAATTTAGTCTTTGAAATTGTCTTGGGGTTTGTCTTCTTTTAGACTACAATCTGGTTTTGGCAAGCCTCACCATGACTAGCAGTATGATTTTAAGAGGACTGATGCAATGGCACATTTGGGAAACAGTTGCTCTAATAGTTTCTTATATATTTTTCCCCTACTCCTTTACACAGATGAAAGCTTAGCCTCAACATAAACTGAAGGGGAATCTCTTCCCAAATAAGATGGCATTATCCTAATCCACTAAGAATGAATGGAAAAGAAGATGAAGGGGGAGTTTGAAGGTGAAATTGTAGTAGCTAATGTGCCATCAGCTCCCATCACCAGCACTACTGTTCTACCTTTGGACTGGCACTGGTTGGACATCAGCATAAACCAGTTCAAAGAGCAAACCTGGCAGCAAATCAACCCTACAGCAAGACAGCAGGTAAGAAAAACAAACCTACCATGGTTGCAGTCATGGATCACAGCAATGGCAAGACACATTCATAGGACTGCTGAAAAATGTAGTCGTAGACAACCGTGTCTCTCTCTGCTTTTGTTGTTTTTTCCAATCAGGTTGGGAATACTCAGAGCAAGTAACATCATACACACAAGTGAGGTCTCACTCCCTGCATGCATGCTTTTAGACTTCCCAGGAACTAAACATCATGTACCTATGCTGACAACACACAGATCAGTATTTTCTTTGCTCGTATCAACAGGCCACAAAGCTATGCTAGAAACTAAACACACGAGAATTGTTTAAAAGCATGCTAACACTCAGATTTTCAGAGATATAAAGTCTTGTTCTTTGTTCTCAATGACAGCTGCTTCCTGCTACATGCTTCTGAAAATCTCTTACTAAAAATATTTCCATGTTATTTAACAAGTTCTAGTACTTTCCTTTTTGGAAGCTAGGTAATATATAATCACAGATCCATTAAGCTACATATCAAAGCTATTATGGACTCGAAGGTATTACATACTAGTATACACTGTATATCCCTTACACTAGCATTGCCCTCTTCATTTCAAAGGAATGAGAGGAAGACCATTTCTGAAGGTCAAAAATCACATCAACATCTGTTTAGGAAAGAGAAGGTGTAAATCTAGCTGCAGATTCTATAAAGGAAAGAGTTAACTGCAGTTCAAGGAGCATCTAGCTATTGTAAGAGCATCTCATTTAACAGGAGACCACAGGACCAAATTGCCCAGAGGTTGTGCAGTCTATGATCTTGGCGATTTTGAAGAACAGGTTAGACTAAGATCTGTCAGAAACACTTCAGTAATAACTGACTATGTCTTGGGATATACAGAAGGTCTACATAGCTGTTCAAGGTCCCCTTTAGCTCCATCTTCTATAGCTGTAATCAGGGTTTCCACTTCACATAAGAAAAGTTTAGCCCAACTATCTTGTCTGCTATTTTTTCCCCATCTCTTGACAACTACTTTAGTATTGATGTGACAAATTATCCCAAATCACTTAACAATTAGAAGTCACACCTCCTGAGTCTATGTAGGACACTTTCCATATAGCAACACAAAAGATGACTTGGTTTACTTCCTCTGATCTCTGATCGTTCTTTTGTCCATCATCCTTGACCTTGCCTTTGCGGACAGATCATGATTTTCAGGTCGTGCTAATGCCATGGTATGGGCTCTGATGCATGCAGAATAATTCGTAAAAGCAACATCAGGAGCTTCATCCATGGTAGGCATTTTCAAATTAACAGAAACCCCTGTACAGAACAAACTTAGACAGTTTCAAAATCCCTCTCAAAATTCCTGCATCCCTTCACAGCTCCTGCAATCAGACCATGCAGCAGACAGACGGACCTCAACATGAAGCCTCTCCCCTCCTTATTTAATACATAAAGCTTTTCACACCCTTTTCCATGTATTCTTTCTTGGCCAACTAAGGTCAAAACAACCTTCTAAGGATTGTCTCTTATGTCATAGGTTAGAGAGAGATGTTATGTAGGGCAAGAGTGCCTTCCTGATTCAGTCCATGGAGGTTATTACATTTCCATTGTAAATGTGCTTTATTAACCTTGGAAAATCCCATATTAAATTACTTGTTCTGACCCTATCTGATTACAGTATCTGAAAAGAAAATCAAATCCATTTACTTCCAGTAGTGTTTCAATCACTGGACTACACGATACAGACATGCTTACAGTCATTACAGCAAGGATACCACCCAGTAAGAATTTGCCATTTTGGATCCTGTGGATCCTATATGGATTGACCAAATACCAATGCAAAACATCTGGAACACCAGTTTTGCTAGTTAATAATAATATTATGAACTTGCATTTCATTTTTGCAGAATGCCATTGCAATGAGAAAAATTTCAACGAAAACTCACATGAACTAAAAAATACATCCTGACTGCAATACAAGAAAGATATGTCTCAATTTTTAATGACATGCTTAAACTTTCCAGTGAGAAAGGATAGAAAAATGTCAGTGTTTCTCTTTCCAAAATTTAAGCTATCATCCTACCATGACCAAGAAACATGCTTCAAGAGACTACTAAGGCCATTGTCCCTGAAAACGCTTACAAACATGTCTAGAAAGCTCATAAAGCAAAAAACTTCCAAAGTCAAAGTTCTAAAAAAAATTGGAGCCTTGCCTCTCTAATGATTTCTAGAAATTTTAAACCAAAAAAAAAAATATTTCAATGAAGTAATTTATTTGGTACAAATACTCAACATCTTAAATGTATAAAGGCTTAATTATCTGTACATTGTAAAAACAGAACACAAGGAGGGGATTAGGCATTATTGTACCTCTTTGACGTGCATTTGTAAGGGACTAGGAAAAAAAAAAAGCATGTTGGTTTTGACTCATAGAGGAGTCATCTATGCTAGATGAAAACTGAAATTTGCTTGCAATCGCAGTTTACCTCTGGAGAAATAATAAATTAACTGTACAGTAATGGTTGGTAAAGAAAGTGTTTTGTCAATCCAAAATAATTAACTCTAAACACCACAAAACTTTGAAATAAATAAGTCAAGGCAGTTTGAAGTTGAAAAAGAATTTATACTAATCTTGTATTCTGGATAATTCATTGCACTGGACTTCTGATGGGTGTAACTGGAAATCATGCAATTAGGAGAGCCTAAACAGGTAGTTTGATCACAGTGCTTTTAGCCCGTTAAGAAAAGTACCTCTCCAGCCTAACTTTTTACTTTCTGCTTTAGACAGATGTAACTATAATACTTTATTCTTTGCTATTACATCCTTTTTGTTACTGCAATGAAAGTAGCCAAGCTGGATAAACACAGAAAGGACAAAACCCTCTGTTACTTTTCTGTCTCTCATTGTTGTTCCCTGGACTGGACTACTCCAATGCCAGGTGTTGGTCCAACCCCACCTGCAAGCAAATTATCAGTAGCACCCCATCTCCTACCCTCCTGTAAGAGGTCTTTTGCTTCTTCCTATTTTTCTGGAATGCTAAGCTAAACCTCCTGCTACTGGAAACAGCACACAGCTACTGATGCCAGCCTTGGTGGTGTTGAATAGTGCTGGTTCGCTCAGCAGAGCTGGCACTGATGAGCTGCAATAGGTCCCCAGTATCAGACATTTGGGACTTCAGTAAAAATCAGATGAGCAGCCCTGCCCTAAAGCCCAAACTGTCACCAGTGAAAGCAAAGCAGCTGGCAGTCAGGTGTTGAAGACATGAAATGCAAATTCTTCACCTCACAACTACAAACACTGCACGGTCAATGTACTACAACATAAAAATAGAAATACATTTGGTTTTCAAGCAAATGCTTTTTACTGTTCTATAAAGACCAAAAGCAACAGCTGCTATCTGTTTGGTTACTGAAAACGCCCCTGCTCAGTGATCAGCAGCCCTGATTGTGTTTGTGATTAGACACCAACTCCTGTGAAAGACAGGGGAGAGAAGGACACAGACACATTAGCAGGAACACAACAAACTCTGGCCGCGGTAAACAATTTTATAATTAAAATTCACAAACTACCATTACAGACAGGCATTGCAAGCGAAACCCTGTCACTTCAGTTATATTAACCAGGTCGAAGTCAATGACCACCCGTTCCCCTTCTCCTGCCAAAGGAAGGAACAGAGACACAAGTCAAGCCTACTTTACTAGTTTTCCATTTTATATGTTTTTCCATTTGGACTATGCCTGAGCTCACAAACTCCTATACTGCCCCATAACACACACAACAGTCCCTTTTGTGGCATGCTCTTGCTTTCCTCCAAAGAAAAAAGTAGGAGGCGAAAGAAAAACAGAGGACTGGGTGACAGCCCATCTGCAGGAACACCTGCTCTCCTCTCGCCGGCCCTCTCCGCCGTCAGATGTCTGCCGTCTACTGTTCACAAACCAGCATGACCTCAAGAGCCACAGAAATCCCAAAAGCTTTTCTCACCAGCGCCTCTTGAAAGCATTAATCAAGTTTCTAGAAACCGCTTCAACAGCTACCAACATAAAACCAGTACCCTTGAACCCGTCCGGGAGTTTCTCGTAGCTCCGGAATGAAACTGTGCAGAGCACAAAACATGGCAAATGCTTCGCAGGAGCTGATGAGACCGCTCTGAGGTTGACAGTGCTCACTCCTAAAATAAGCTGCATTTTCCATAGTCACATGCACACAGAGCAAAAGTTTAAGTAAATAGGAGACCTATAGGTGGGTCCCAAAGGTCAACTGACTCAGGCTCAGCAAGTTATTTATTCTTTTCTATATCCTAGAGGGAAAAGGAACTAGCAAACTACTGTTTCAGAGCAGGAGTGCTTTCTAACCACAGGATATAACATAAGGGTATTGTGAGGTAAAATTTCTGTGCGTTACCGTACCTGAGACGGGGCCCTCATCCCATTCTTCAGATCTCCTAAATCGATTTGTTGTAAATCCCATGCAGACATTTACTCCAAAGGCAAAAGCAAATAAAGATATAACCTGCAAAAATAAAACAGCAAAGTAAGCAAACCGGGCAACAAGCAGGACTTTGGAGCTGCGAGCATTACGACTAAAGGGGCAGAGATGGTCCTCTGTACATTCGAGCTCGCCAGCACCGCAGTTCCCATCACCGGAGCGGCAGCTGGCAGCGTCATCGGTGGAGAGTAACAAAAACCAGAAGGGATTTATGAATAAAACATCTCTTTCTGAAGCTGAAACGCTCCTTTTTGTAGGAACTTATTCAGGAGAGACAGGCTACTCGTCCTCGAAAAGCAAACACGCTCCTCTCCTCCTACCTGGTGCGAGTGGACGGAGCCCTTCTGAGCCATGCTAGAGAATTCTTGAAAAGCCTGCGCGGCACCGTCGCCTCTTCTGTCCAGTGAGCGCAGAGCTCTGTTCACTCCGGCAGTTCAGGCTATTAGCTACAAGTAATCCTACCTGGTGAGGTTGACAGGCTCGTGTGATTTGTCCAGGGGGTGATTTCATCATGTTTGACTCACAAATCGCAGCTCCGAGTGCAAGAAGCTCCAGGCATCATCCCTCGCTGCGCCCTCCCCCCAAACACACACGCACGCTTTTATGTGGTTTCCTCTGGCAAAGCTGGGCTTGCTTGTGGTGCTGCAGCCAATAGCTGCTCCTGCTCATTTTATTCTCCTCGCAAAAGTAACATGGTTAAAAGGGAAACCAAATGCGTCTCCAGCTGGCTCCGAGAGGAAGGGGGGGCGGACGCTCGCTCGGGGCTGCGCTATGAGAAGCCCCCGATGCCAGCACCCTCCAGGGTCCCCAGGGCTGCAGCGCAGCCGCGGCCGCCGACCCTGCCACGGCCGGCTGCATTTGGGAGCGCGGGCGCCTCTCTCGTTTTCCACGGGCGCTCCTGAAGGCTCTAACCGGGCTGCAGAGCAGGGTCCTTCCACAGCTGGGGGCACCCTCTAGCAGGGGGTTGTTTCCCAGCCCTGTTCTCCCGTGCTGCTCCGTCTGAGCGAGGCTGGGACCGGTGGAAACGCCAGCGCTTTTATCTGCATAGCTGTGAACCGCAGCCTTCCAGAAAGGAAGGGCAGTGATACGTCCCCTCTGCCCCACGTTTTCCCAGTTTTCATCAACAGCAGAAAGCTCGGCCGTTTGGATAAACGTTTCTACCAACAAAGCAAATTATAATGGCGAGCAGAATTACGGTTCAAATCAGTGGCCTAAATATTATTTGCCAAGGCAAATTATTTACCAGCATACTTTGCCTCTTTTTTTTTCTCTGATTAAAGCTTCTTTCATTAAAGTGATTACTAACAACTACGTTTAAAGGGACAGAGTCAAGTTTTGTAAGCCCTTGGGTGGACTGAGCTTCCCTTGGGACCTGTCCCATATTCTATATTGGCATTAAGAAGCACAGCACAGATTTCTTTAAATGCGGACAAATTTGAGCTTTGTTTAGGGGTACATTTTACCTGCTGAAATATCTCTCCTTCCGCACCATGTGCCTTTACAAGGCAGAAGTTAGAAAGCCCTCCTCTTTGCTGCCCTCAACATCGCAGCCTGCCAGCCTTTCCTAGGAGCTGATACTTTTTAATGCAGTTTTTTTAACCAAAAGTAGCTCCATTGTGCAGTGACATTTTTGCACTGCAAGGCTCAGGCAGATGTAAGTAGCCTGAAAAGACATCTGAGCTGCACCAGTACATTGCATCTCTCGCCCTTGCACAGAGCAGGATTGTGAAGTCAAGAACCATCTTGTAGTGTTCACTCCATCACTAGCTGGGTTGAAAATGAATAGGTTAAATAGGCAATATTTTTCTAGTAAAAAACCTGTGCATAGAGGTCCAGAGGAAAGTGATCACCAAAATTTTCTACTACCTATTCCTTTAAAAATTCTTCATCCTTAGCCTCTCATACCCTGTGGTTAAACAACTTAATTCTCAAGCAGGAGGTAGGTACAGCAGTGTGTGACAGCAGCAGAAGGGAAAAGAAAGTGTCACAGTTGAGATCACTCAACAGTGCTGCCCTGTGTATCTCCAGTGGTGGAGTTCATCATTTCATGGGCAAAACACAGGAATCAGTAGCCCTACACTCTCCTCCAGCCCAGGACACTCAGGTCACCAAATGACTGAAACAAAACACAGCCAAATTTTCAAATCTGGTGGCCAGTTTTGAGTGCCTAAGACAATATGTCCAGCCTAATTATTAGAGATGCTGAGCCTTTGCTTTTCCTGCTGTCTTCCTAACACACAGGCGCTCAGTTCTTTTGAAAGACAGTCCCAACGTAAGTTAAAAAATGGCCACCCAGAAAAATAAAGCAAGAAACAAACAAACAAAAAAATATACAGCATCATGGATTACTTCTACTGATTTGAAAATGTATATTTAATTTTTCCATTCATGGAACTTCTCTGGAGCTTGCAAACCGCACGATTTTACGTAAATGGAGAAGCTCGTTTTATGTTTCCTGGCCCATGCTACAAGTATATTAGATTAATTAACCTCCTTTGTAATATCCCTTAGAACTACAGTTGATGATGACTGCTAATCTTTTACATATGTGTTATGTAAGACACATTTTCCAGTAGCTCTGAACTGACCACATGCTCAGATGTACAATCATCTTTTTGTCACAGGGATTCTGCCTGAAGCCACCCCATAGATGCACAAGGAACTTCTTAGCATAAACAAAGTCCAATGATTTTGTTCAGGCAAAATTTCACTGCTGAGATTACTATCAATTAAGTTTTTTAGCAATTAATTGCCATTTTACTCATCAGAATGGGAAAGACTGAAGCTGAAATAGCATATTCCTGGCCCAATAACTTAGTAGTATAGTGGAAGTTTTAGGGCTTAAATTAAACACATTGATTTTAACAAGATCATCAGAATATGAAATGCCTCTTCATCAGTTATTGTGCATAAGGATTGGCCTTTGGCTTTTATGGCTCATACGATCATACTGTTGTTTACTTCGGAATGCAAAACTTCCAAGCAGCCACTAGGTGCCACTTGACATGAGAAGTTCCGTTTCCACAGCTACGAGCATTCCCATTCTGCTGTTTCACAGAGTTAATGTAACAAATGCAATATTTAGAGTCTTACATAAAACCGATTTTTCTTGGGCAGTTTTTTTTTTTGGTGAGAAAAGAAAACGCAGAGAAATCAAGCCTATTGGCTGAGCTGGACGTTGGGTTTGGAGTGGTTTCTCTAAAGAAACAAGCATTTTTAGCTAGTCATCTTCACTTTGCACTGGATGCAGCCCCATCGGGCGGCTGGGGGCCACGGTAAAAAGCCTCCAGTATGCTTGACAGCAACATGAAAGGCATAAAGGTGAAGGATTTCTCCAGATTGTCGCAGAGCTTTCATGCCTGCAAACACAGCTCCCCCATGTAATTGTGGCCAGGAAAAGCAGTATAGCCAGGTATGAAACAGCAATGTCAAAGAATGAAACCTGTTGATAAACTGCAGAAATGCAAGCAGTGGCTGCACCATGTCCTCAGATACAAGCACTGTGAAACCAAATAATCTTCCATCAGCTGAAGGGAACATGGGAAGATGTGGGTAACTCTCTGAAAATACCCCGAGGCATTTTAGCAAAACCAAAGAGACTGATGAAACAGGAGCAGCTGATTCCTCTGTATACAAGACTTGAAGCCATATTTTTGATAGGACTTTCTAGATCCAAACCAAATATGTTTGGAACTCAGCCAGCAGAGTGACTGATAAAAGACAGAGAAGGAAGGGAAAGCGAGTGTGTAAAGACAAGGGCAGCAAAAGGACAGCAAAGCCAGCCTGGGTCAGCATTTTGATGACAAAAAGAGGTGACAAGACGAAGAACTGGTACATGAGGGTGATGGCTTGCAATGAGCAGTTCCTCAGCAGAGATCAGCCCAGGATCCAGGCTACAGCCACACACAGGAGCCCAGAAATGTGATTGTACAGCCTGAGTATGCAGGAAAAAATACGCAAGAGTTACTGATGGACAGGGGATCTTTATCTGCTCAGCTTGCAAGAGTACCACTGAAGCCCCAAAAATGCAATCACTGAGAAGTCATTTTTACCTAGTGGAGGCAAAACACAGTGACAAGGTTTCAAAGGGCTGGCAAGCTGACCTGGAAATAAAAAATTCTGATCTGATCATAAAGGGTAGGAGAGGACCCAGATGTTTGCATTGATAAATTAATGGGGTAGGCAGAGTATAGAAGAAAAAAAGCTATTAGCATAGACAAGGGTCAGACAAGGATCCTTGGGCTTTAGGACGTGTTGTGAGAGTTGCAGAAGCTCCTGTATCTTTTTCTCTCCCATACATAGAAGCTTCATTTTTGTCAGGAGGCGATTTCCCTGCAGAGGGCACAGGACAACCTGCTAAGAAGG